CTATTTTTCGGATCATCATCCGAGTTCAACCTGGTATATATTTTCTGGATGTGAAACTGTCATCGGTAATTTTTTTTTTTTTAGCTATCATAAGAGATCATTTTATAAGTTACGGACCAGTCCAGACCGGTTCTCAGTTTACGAACTGAAGACTGCTTGGACTGGTCCAAAAGACCGGTCCAGACCACGTCTTTGCAAGACCGTAACATAATCACAAATGAAATCATTTCAATTAATAATATTTCTATTAAAGATATTGAAAAGCGTAAGAAAGTAATCGGTTTTACTAATGTATTTGAATAAAATTTCTTCAGAAAAAAATACCAAATGTAAATATTCAAATGTATATACAGTATATTGATATCAATCATCAATTTCATTTAACAACTTGATTATAAGTTACTTTATGCGTTATAGTAGCGACTTCGTCATAGGCGTCATTATGATAAACAAACCTCAATCATTATGACAAAAGTTGTAACTACCACTACAGAATTGATGCTGAATCTCTGTTTTCCTGACGAATTTTGCAAATCATTGCATTGAGACGACATAAAACTCGTTTCCTAACATGTAGATATGCGATTTCGCTTTATAATTGTATCAGCGAATTTATTAATAAGGCTACACAAAGTTAATATTTCGTTTTGCATAACTTGTGGTGTTCTGAAATTCCAGTCGACGGGTCGGAAAACCCACTGTAAATTAATAGCTTCATGCTCATATACAAGTTAAATTTTAGTATGCATAACATGGAATCAGTAAATCTTGGAAATTTTGAGCATTTTTTTTTTAGCGGACCTATCGGGTAATTCCGGAAGTAAGGTCACACCGGACACAGGATAAGTTACGTACGTACGTATGTACGGGAAAAAATTAAATAGCAAAAATGAAACAATTGGAAGTCAAAAAATAAAAATAAAGATATTTAAAATTGGGTCGGCGGGTTATCCAAACCGAAAAATTAACTTCAGTTGGCCTAAAATGATTATTTTTTAACTATCAACTCTAGACTAGCCCTCATATTAATATGGCATAGTCATAATTTTTGTTTCTCATAATTTCGATAAAAAACATATTTATAGGTATTTATAGGTTTCTTTCTCCTTATCTACAAATCAATGAAATGATGCACCCTTCAAGAAATCATATTGATCAAGTGCTTTAAAAAGAAAGGTTAAACAATGTACTGGATCGGATATCAGACAATGTTCCACGAGTATAATAAACAGGATACTTTTCTTCAAAGCTGTCAGTTTCGAGATTATTTCGTACAGTGAACTTTTTTGTGAAAATACTTTTATCATCGTCTTTAATTAGTAAAAGTTGTGTGCTTAAAATGCATAAATATGTTATCTAGGTAATTTATTACTTTCCAATAGACTATCTTGGAGAACTCAAAAGCATTAACGAATTAATTTAACTTGTTTTTTTTTTTCCATAAGTCCCGATTTGCAAATTTGTACTACTTTATACAATGTTATACGTATAAAATTTTTACTTTATCATTACAATAAAATAAGCAAAAAAGATATTATTTAGTGTATCTTTAATCCAAAAGTTACCGTGGATGAAAAAATCATATTTGAATTTTTGCTGAAATACGCAAAATGAAATAGGCAAAAATAAGGATGAAAAAAAGGCATTTGAGTGGTATTTGAAATCTGCCGAAGGTGTCGATTCTATTGGTCAATTTAATGTTGGAGTCTGGTACGATAATGGCATAGGCACAAGCCGGGATGAAAAAAAGGCATTTGAGTGGTACTTGAAGTCTGCTGAAGATGGCAATTTGAAGGGAAATTTAATGTTGGAATATTCTACGATAAATGGCATAGGCATAGATAAGGATAAAAAAAAGGCATTTGTGTGGCATTTGAAATCTGCTGAATGTGGTGATTCGGATGGACAATTTAATGTTGGAATCTGCTACAGAAATGGCATATGCGCAGCCAAGGATGAAAAAAAGGCATTTGAGTAGTATTTGAAATCTGCCGAAGGTGGTAATTTGAATGGACAATTAGTATTGGCACAGTTACAGGCATAAACAAGGATGAAAAAAAGGCATTTGAATGGTATTTGAAATCTGCTGAAGGTGGCTATTCGAATGGACAATATAATCTCGCGGTATGTTATGAAGATGGTAAGGCATAACTAAGGATGAAAAAAGGCATTTGAGTGGTATTTAAAATCAGCTAAAAATGGTAATAACAACGGACAATGCAAAGTTGGGTTATGCTATCGAAATGGTTATGGAACATCGCCTAATCAAGAAAAAGCAATTGAATGGCTGCAAAAATCGAAAAGCAATAATTCTCGAAAGACAGTTGATTCTGAAAATCTTGATGATTTATTGAAAAAATTATTACCTGATAATAATTTTTTAATTTCATGGATTCCATTTAATGAATTAGAATTTCGTAAAAAAAATTGGAAAAGGTGGATTTGCAACAGTGTATGCTGCTTATTGGAATCGCAGAAATCCAAATGGTAAACCTTTAGGCCAAGCAGTTGCGCTTAAATTATTTCGTGAATCAAAAAATAGTTATGAAGAACTTGTAAAAGAGGTAATTATTTAATACGTTAAGAGGATTATGTTTTAGTTATGCAATATGAAGAAATGGGATATTTACGTAAGAATCTTTATGGAGTTGCACAAATGAAATGGGGGAAAAAACTTAGATTTATTATCTTATATCTCATTCGATCTTCAATTAATTCATTTGAATAACATTATTCATTGTGATTTACATAGTGATAATATATTTCAAGATAATTTATATAATGCTTATATCGGTGACTTAGGATTTGCAACGTCAATTAATAAAACATTTGATAAAGAATCTAGAGGAATTTATGGAGCTTTACCATAAATTGCACCAGAAGTTTTGCAAGGAAAACCATTCACAAAAGCATCAGATATCTATTCTTTTAGAATGATTATGTGGGAGATTTCTTCAGGAAATGTTGTATTTTCCAACTATAATTTGAGATTGTATTAGTGATTTGTGAAGGTTTAAGACCAACTATTATTAAAGGTACAGTACCATGCTATATAAATCTTTTAAAGAAGTGTTGAGATAAAGATCCAGAAAAACGACTGTCAGCTATAGAAATTTATAAATATCTTAAAATGGAAAAATAGCACTGAAGTTTTTTAAAATCTGATGAAGAAATAGAAATTAAAAATTATAGTTTTGATAATATGAAAGATAGTATTATTCATACCAGCAAGTTTATTAGCAGTCAGACGTATAACCACTGATGAAATTACTTCTAATAATAATATTTATATTGAAGATATTAGAAAGTATAAGAAAGTAATCAGTGGTATTGATATGTGAATAGAATTCAAAAAATAATACATATCGGCCAAAATGTTTACTTTGTCTAAAATTTGTACCCCAAATTTATAATTAATGCTGATCGACATTGCATATTAGCACCCCAAAATTTATCATTTTTGTTACTAAAAATAAAAATTTTATAATAAATCCTAGCGTCAAACCAATGAACGAAATCGCATTCAAGTAAGTAAAGACAATGAAGGTTGTAACAAGACTTTACTTATTTATATATACTGTATATATTAATAATATTTTATTTGTAAAAAATAAGCTCTTTTTAATGCCTCGATCAAAGTATAAGAAACCTTTTGAATGTACTATCTGTAAAAAAAAAAGTACAAATCTGCAGCAGGGCTTTCACGACATGAAAATGCCAAGCATAGCAATTATAATATACCTCCTATTCAATCTTATATTTTACCAGAAAATGCTATTAATGAATAGAAGAAATGTTGGTACATGCTATTCACAAACGACTTCCTCTTGCTTTTCGGAAGACTGGCAAACAAGTAATTAAATTTTCTTGTATGGAGGGTCAATATTTAGGGCTTTTTAGACGATATTTAACACATGTATATCGGGAGAATTAAATAAGTGCAAATCTGCAAAAACCTGCGAAAATGCAGATTTTAGCAGAATTTTTTGCAAAAAAACTGCAAAATTTTCTATATTTTGAAATTTTGTGCAGTACTGTATTTAATTTCTATAGCTATAGCTGGTGAGTCTGAAGTTTTGCACAGATTTTCATTTAATATATTATTTGATTTTTTGCAAATCTGTGCAGAACAGCACTAAAAATTTTTTTCCAATGTATTTGTTCATAGAAGAGCCTATAAGTGTGTTTTTTCAGAATCTGACACATATCAGACTATTAGTTCATTATTAGGTAATCATTGTTGGGTGATTAGTATGTAAATCACCAGTCTAAAAAATTTTGTCTTATCATGTGATTGAAGATCATCCAATTAAATTTGCGCAATATTGTTACTAACAAATTTAATTGAATTTACCATTACCATTACTAATATAATATTTCTTTAGAAAGGGTTGCTATATTATAGCAAAAACAATATAATAGAAATTCCACATGTGCATTAATTTATTTTACTTTATAGAGTGTAAATTAAAGGTTGGTTCTGTATCCCGAATTATATATTTGCCTATTACAACTTTTAATTAAAATGGCAAAAAGGTTAACAATTTTCAGATCATTTACTAGCTACTTTAGAAATAATTAGTTTCAAAAAATATTAATAATAAAAGCTGTAGCAACTTATATATTTTAAAGTTAAAATTGGCAAGCTTAAAATTTGACCACATTAATGTAAAAGTTTTTTTTTATGTACATAGCAAAAATAAATTTTAAGCTCAAATAAAATTCAAATTTATTTTATTATACTCTTAAGTAACAGTAACAAATAAATTTATTACTATATAAGAAGCGTAATACATTGAATTTTTTTTAAAAAATTTTTTTTTAAAAAAAAATTATATATAAAATTCAGTTTATGATTCTTTGTAGCCAGACCTTCAAATCCAATATGTATTGTAATTTTGATTCTTCCAAGTATTTTGAATCTTTTGATATCTATTATACTGCTTACAATTATTTACCATTTTACGCAAAGAATTAAAATTCTTATTAATCAAATTAATCTATTTATCAGCATTTAGACTTTGAGTATTCTCCTCAATAATTGATTTAACACATTCTATTAATGAATAAAGTTCTTCTTTTTTGTGATTTATAAGTTCTTGATAATTTGAAATCGTACCAATATAGTTTTGACAAGGTAATTCTAAATTATAACAATTAAGTTATTGTTTTTTTTACTAAAAAGAAACTTTAATATTGAAGGTGTTTTAATTACCTGAAGCTTCTTTATTAGAAGTATCATAGTCACTAGATTGTTTATCAAAATTATCATTGATTAAAGCCTTTTCATCTAACATATATTCTGTCGATAGTTTATTTAAAACTATTAAAAAAAGATTTTCTAGTAGATCTTTAAATAAATTGTTATATTGCTCATTGATTCATAAAAATAGGTAGTATTCTTGCCAATGAATCTAAAAAAGAATTATCAGTATATATTTACTACATACTGTATATATATATATATATTGATATATATACATATCCTTTTGAAAAATCTAATTGAAACTGGATTTACTTGCTGAATCAAATGTTTACAAATAAAAAAGTGGCTAAACAAGAAACTCAAGCAAGAGCATGTCCATTTTGTATATCAGTAACTTATTGAGGATTAAAATGAATTGCTTTTTTTTAAAGTTAATTTTATTCTGCTTTTAAATCAATTCTCCAATGTGTTACAGCTCAACTATCTCTTAATTGCTATAATCGATCAACTTGTCCAGGTATAACTCATGTTACAATAATATAGACTAGTAAATCTAAGCATGCATAATTATATTCTGAAAGGTAATCATGTTTAATTAATCTCCAATGATTTTTAACTGTTATAGTAGATCATAAAACATTAATATGGCTTGTCACAGAACAAGCTCATAAATTTCACCATTCTGGACAATACTATCCATTCCACAAATAAATCCAAACATGTAACAAATTATTAATTTTGCAGTATTGTATTGTTCTTGAACACATTTGAGCCAAATTTTACTAGCAGATCTAGCATAAGATTGATGTTCAGTTGGAATTAAGGGATGTAATGAAAAATGAATTTGAATTAATTGCATAATATGTTCACAATAATCTTTTTGACAAAAAACTTTATTATTTTTTGATACAGATTTACATGTTAGCTGCCAGGTTGGATTTATAATCAGACAAGTCATATGTACCTCTTTTGTATTGTATATAGAGTAAGTAATTTCAGTACTTGCAAGCTTCTTCTTTATTGCACAAAACATGTGCCAATAACACAATTGAATTCATGCTTGAGGCCAAATTATTTGAGCAGAGGTAATCTGCACAAAATCCTTATCACTTAAAAAAGTTTTAACATTATTAATACAGTCATCCTTCTATCCAATCACCTCCTATATAATCACAAACTCTATATAATCACTCAATTTTAAATAACAATTATTTTATTATTAAAAACTCTTCTATATAATCACAAAAGGCTTATAATCACTATCACAATTTGTTGAATAATTTTAATAATAAAATCACTTCTTTATAATCATATTTATTATTATAAAATTTTTGCTATTTTTACTTAAACTTTGACAATATATATCTCGATAACTAGTAATCCAAATTAGCTCAAATTTTTATTATATATAATTAAGATATTATTCTATTGTTTATAAAAATTTTAGCTGATTTGATTTAGTTGTTCTTGAGTAATCACTTATAACGAAAGCCAATTTTTTAAAAAAAATTAACAAATAATTACTTGAGAACTACCAGACCAAATTGGCTAAAATATTTATATATAATAGAATAATAACTTATTTATATATTATAAAAATTTGAACTGAATTGGATTACTAGTTATCAAGATATCCATCATCAACATTTGAATTAAAATAGTGATTTTTTTAATCAATTATTATAAAATTTTTACTATTTTTACTCAAACTTTAACAATATATATTTCGATAACTAGTAATTCAAAATGGCTCAAATTTTTATCATAGATAATAATTATATTTGCTTATTATATTGTTATATTATCATATTTTAGCATTGGTATAGTTATACAAATTACTATTTATAGCCTAGTTTAAGTACCATGATTCAAATGTGTACTATTAGATTTATTAGTAGATTTTTTTACCGTTTTGTAATTGGAGTTATATTAGTATAATATTTTGATATAGTATCTTATCATAGTACTTTAACATAGTACCTTAGCATAGTACTTTAGCATAGTATCTTATCATAGTACCTTGCTATAGTGCCTTAGCATAGTACCTTAGCATAGTACCTTATCATAGTACCTTGCTATAGTACTTTATTATAGTATCTTAGCATAGTATCTTAGCATAGTACCTTAGTATAGTACCTTAGCATAGTACCTTAGCATAGTACCTTAGCATAGTACCTTAGCATAGTA